TTGCTTTATAGTTTGCCATATTACTCTGCGGGAAATGAATATGGCAACAGCAAAACCACATAATCTAAGTGCCAGACATAAACAAAAAGTTAGCAAACCAATATATTAAGGTTTCCCCAAACATATAGCTGCTAACTTGCCCTTGGGAGTCAATTGTTCATTTCTTCCACTCCACATAGCCTCCTTGATTAGCTAGTTTTATTACCCTGCATTCCCTTCCCAAGTTGTTAAAATTATTCTCTGTTTTTCATAAGTTGTTGATAATCACTTCTTTGAAATTAATGAATTTGTAAGAGGAGGAAGATAGAAGCAATTATTTCAGCATAGAAATAAAAGCAAGCTTTGAAAAATTGTAATTTTGTTATTGTTAAAAATTAACATTTCCTTCTTTTTTTCCTAACTGATATTGCAATGTTTAGTGCTATGGTGCTCAAAATCAGAATAGAGATGATGCCACAGTAGACAGACCAATGGACTGAAATAGAAGACCCAGAAGTATATTCAAGCATATATAATTATCATTCAAGCATATATATATATATTACAAAAAATGATAATTATATATCTGAGCCTTCTATTTGAGTGAACTTCTCCTGATCCTTATATTGTGTTTTATTCCATTTTCTATATATATTTTTAAATGCCATACTGTGATAGCAAAGTCTCCAAAGTGGCTCCTAATGTTCTCCACCTCCTAGTTGATATGTGGTCTCCTTCCACTTTGTTCCAGGTTTGTGGGTAGTAGAAAACAGTAGAAGTAATGGTGTGTCATTTATATATATAAAAGGCTAATATGCAAAGTGTCCCCATGGTAGTTTGACTGGGAGACTAGGAGTTCTATCGCTTGCTATGATGTGTGCTGAACACCAGGGGGCAGTATGAAATAAAGGGAGGCTCCAGCTGGCAGCTGGAAGGCTCCAATCGGCCCTGATCACTGGCCAGGCCTAGGGACCCTACCTGTGTGCAAATTTTATGCACCAGGCCTCTAGTTAGATTGTAAAGACTGTAGCTTACATTTATGTAGACATTCACAATCTTTCTCTCTCTCTCTTTCTCTCTTTTTAAAAAATATATATTTTATTCATTTTTTACAGAGAGGAAGAGAGAGGGATAGAGAGTTAGAAACATTGATGAGAGAGAATCATCAATCAGCTGCCTCTTGCACACCCTCTACTGGGGATATGCCTGCAACCAAGGTACATGCCCTTGACCGGAATCGAACCCTGGACCTTTCAGTCTGTAGGTCGACGCTCTATCCACTGAGCCAAACCAGTTTGGGCATACAATCTTTTTCTCTTGAATCACTGGCCGTGGGGAAGCAATCTTCTTGTGGGAGGACACTTGAACCATCTCTTGAGAGGCCCACATGGCAAGGACCTGAGGATTTAACAAGGAACTGAGGCCTGCCATCAACCATGTGGGGGAGCTTGGAAGAGGACCATTCCCCAGTTGAGCCTTCAGATGAACACAGCTCACCCTGAATCATCCAGCTATGCCACTCCTAGAGTCTTAAATCTCAGAAACCATGTGAGATAATAAATGTTTGTTGTTTTAAGCTGCTCTGTTAAGTTTTGCAGTACTGTGTTACATGATAGATAATTAAGACACATAGCATATAAATAAAAGCAATATAGGTCAATGATAAGTAAATTAGATGATTTGACAAATTTTGACATTTCTGTTTCATCTTAATTGTTTTTCTTTAAATTTATTCTTTCAGTGAAACATGTTAAAAGTAGTTACCAGCAGAACATTAAAAACTTTAACATTTAGCTTTGGGAACTTAAGTGTAACCACAGCATTATTTTCTGTTTTATTAAACTCATTAAACAGTAACACAGTGTATTTGTTTATATTAAAAAACATGTTATTGGACTCTTTGGGGGGAAAAAAGCTACTTCAAATTAGTCTGAAAACTCTCACTTCTTTGTAGCAATGTGTAATCTATAATAATAAAAACAAAATATGCAAATCAACTGAATGGCAAACAGTAGAACGACCTTCTGGATGTCCTTCTGGACAACCTTATGGACAAAGCCATGCCTATGAGGTCCTACACAGCTGGACTGTGAAGCCCTACCCTTGCATGAATTTTGTGATTGGGCCTCAATATAATAATTGCCAAGTAGAAGTTCTTGATAATTAGAGTGACTTTAAAATATATTTAAGCATAGCCAAAACCGGTTTGGCTCAGCTCAGTGGATAGAGTGTCAATCTGAGGACTGAAAGGTCCCGGGTTCGATTCCAGTCAAGGGAATGTTGCGGGCACATCCCAAGTAGGGGGTGTGCAAGAGGCAGCTGATCGATGATTCTCTCTCATTGATGTTTCTAACTCTCTATCCCTCTCTCTTCCTCTCTGTGAAAAATCAATAAAATATATTTAAAAATATATATATATTTAATTATAATAAATTAAATATATATTACACACAGACAAGTTCTTTTACAGTATTTGAAGGTAGTTTAAGATAATTTTTTTTTCTTGTAAACACCCTCCTTTCTATGACTAAGATTGCTTGCAATCTCTGCCATTATTTTTGGTGAAAAAATAAACTTCAATAGCGTACCTGTGTGGGTTCTAACAACTTCTGAATTAGTGAAGCCCCAAATAATGAAGCTTTATAATGTGTAAGGGAACTAGAAAGGCTAAAATTTCAAATTATGAGTCAAGGGAATAGTTCCAAGCAGTGTGTGTTTCTGCCAGGAGTACACCAGCAGTGTTCCCCAGGCTTCATGGTGGTTGAACTCCAGCGTTTGGTACTAAATTGTCTTAATCTTGGCTACAGTGGTGGTTCCACTTTCTCACTCATTTATTCTCAACTAGAATGACTAGGGACAATTGATTTTTTTCAATGTAGAAAAAGAAGAAAAAAGATTGCTACTCTGCAACATTAAAAAAAATAATAAAAGCCCAGATGAATCAAGGGCTAATATATAAAAAGCAAAACTCTAAGAATTTTAGATGCAAGCATAGAGATTATCTTTATGATCTTGGAAAAATTTCTTCATCAAAACACAAAACGGGCAAATCACAAAAGACAAGATTAGAGAATTTGACTTTCTTGTGAACTTCTCCCTCTTGTTCTTATAAGAACTTTTAGAGAAAGCAATATAACTGATAAGCTCCATTATTTTTGCAGTTTTGGTGTGAGCTTTAGAAATACAGAATCAGATATCTGGCTCCAAATAATTTTTTTTTTGTGTGTAATTCTTGGTTTTAATGGTTGTCATACCCTTATTTTTCTCATAAATTTATAATTTTCTTACATCCTGAAATTTCTCAAGTATTGTTTTCCATTTGCACTATAGTATCTTTTTAAGTTATACCAAAGTTAATGGAGTAAGAAATAAATAAAAGTCGAACAAACCATTAGATTCAGTTTATGCTCCCAACAAATAAGTATTTATAACTCCAGCCTTCCAAAAAATCATAAAATATGTATAACAAACAATAATTTATGGAGACTTCATGGCAGTCATGAATGCAAATAATAGGTAAATCTCTAATTTCTCAGTTCTGTAATATCTGAACATCCTGCAACCTCAGACACAGAATGCCAAATCTATCAGGAAGAGATAATATTTCCTAGCTACACGTGGATTCAGTTTGTCAAATTATCTTAATTAATTTCTATCAGATTGTGTCTCATATTGCATGTGCTGCATTGGCAGAATGACATGCTCAGACTTTACCTAAGCTTTCCGGAAGCCCTGTCAGAATACAAAGGAGGATAAGGGCCCAGCTTTTTGTTCTTCACAATTCAATTTTGTGATCCGATGCAGGAGTTACAAAGCTTTCATCAACAATTACTGACTACCTCCATTGTCGCCCCAGTGCGGGGGTTCTGAAAGACTGTGTGAAATCCATTCAAGGAACAGAGGAGAAAGCACAGTGCAGCCTTCTGCACTGAACAAAGAAATAAGAGAAAAATAATTCACTCCTATCAAAGGTGCAAGTAATAAAGCACCAACACAAACAAAACAGCCACAAACAGCCTGTAGGAAACCATGGAAGGAAGCTCAAAATCAGGTTTTTAGAGGTGAATGGTATAAAGAAAATGCAACGCTATTTGCAACAGAATTTTTCTAAAAGAAAGACAAGCCTGAATAGGCTATTAGCCAGATCTTCCTTCACAAGCTGAGTTCCAGACAGTGGTTTCATTGATAAGGACTGCAAAGGTGACATGTAAACACCGAGCAGAAGCTGGTGCTGCCACTGTCACAGTCAGGTCTCCCAAACCATCCGCAATAGGTAAATTTCTAAAACCTAATTTATTAAAAAACCATGAGCATCTCATATTTTTTCCCATAAAAAAATGGATAAGATGGATTATGAATGAAGGTATATGAGAAATATTCCAAAGATTGCTTAATAACCACATTACAGTTCATGTCGTTTTAGCAGTTGAGAAAAGTTCCAATCCATACCCACATCATTATAGACTTACTCATTACCCTCAGAGGCCTACGTATTTTATGTCACTATCACTCTCCTACAAAAGCATGAAATGATTTGCTTCTTTAAGATTAAAGAAGTGAAATGTCTAATTAGGGAATATATTCAAGATTTATAATGACACCTGACAGATAATGTAAATTTAATGCATTATGGTAAGTTGTTCAATTGATCATATTAGCATAAATGTCAAAGTAAGATTCTGAACACCTGAAAGTAATATTACTTTGGGAAGGAAGAATATAATCAGTAAATAGTGCTCCTGTGATAATCATTATGGTGGTTCACAAATTCCAGGCTGTCTCTCTCAATACATGGCAGGGTTGTATTTCCCTGTGTGCTCGGCATTGGGTGTGGCAAGTAATTTCTCTGAGTAGAGAAAGTGAAAGCTCCAAGAGGCAGTGTCCCCTTCACCACATCCAATTTCCCTTTGGCTTTCTGACTGACAATACTTAAAGTGGCATAGCTGGGCCAGCTGGGACCCCTGAGGGTTTATGAAAGACAGACACCTACTTGCTACGTGCAATGGAAATATAGCGTAAGCCCCTCCTACAAAGGCGTGTCTGCAGTTCCCTGTCTTTGGCCACTAAGAATGGGAGGCAAAGAAAGAAATGTGGACTTGGAGAAATCTAGAACCAGCTTGCAGGTTCAAGATCAACCATCCCAAATAGAAGAAAGTGGGGGGGTGGGGAGGCGGGAGGGAAGGAAGAAGAAGAAGAAGAAAGAAATATAGTGTAAGCAAGAAATAAGTAAATGTGTGCTTTAAGCCACTGAAGTTTTGGAGTTTGCCTCTGTGTCACAACCCAGCCTATTCTGTCACAATACGATATACAAGAGTATACAAGAATAGATCCTTGGACATCATCAAGAGTGAAATACAGACTGGTTTCTGGCCTTGATTCAAAGAAAAAAAATCGTCAATAGTTGCTAGGAGAAAGATATCCCAAATTGTGCCAATTTATTTAAATTTAACAAAGATGTAACTGGTGAAGCAGGGAACTAGATGGTGCGTAATATAATACACAATAGCTGGCAGAGTGGCAGCCATATTGGGCAGCCTACTGAGTGTTCATTTGCATTTATTAATATTAAATGAATAAAAAATAGTAGGAGGTTATTTTTTAAAGTAATTTATTTCCATTCCATTTGGACTCTGATATTTATCCTCCTGACCAGAAGTGGGCTAGGGCAGCAACCTGGGAGTTTATTTACTTATTTATTTATTTATTTTTAAAAATCAAATTCTGTTAGAGATACCACTGACTTTATTGAAAGTTTATTATTATTTTAACTCTATGAAGGAAGGAATATTACTGCCCTTTTTTAAAGCTATGTCCACATTATCTAGAATAGTGCCCAGAGTAGATTCAAAATATTTTTTAATGAATGAATGAATCTATATTTTTGCTAGAAATTTTCATCTACTGTAAGGTCACTGTTAGTTAATCTGATGTGGCACTTCCCAAACCCAAATACCATTTTAAACTGCAATAACAGAAGTGTCAGATCTAGGACAAATGAATAATATAATTCATTCTACTCTTCTTAGCCTTCTGGAGGATACTATTTAGTTAATTCTAGTACCACATAACAGATAGTCATTAATAACTGCAGTGTCTTCTTACATTTTCTTATACCATGGTGAAAATAATATTTGTAGGATGCAAGTAGAAAAACAAAAAACAAACAAACAAACAAAATATTTGCTGGGGTATTCTTAGGGCTGAGGGACTAAAAAGCTGTCAAGAACGACCATGTTTCTCTTTGAAAATCTTTTATTTCTAACAAAAGTTGCTGTTTAAATGCTGATAATGAAAGAACAATTATATGGCAAGGGAGAGAGACTTTTTTTTTAAACTAAAAAATTGCTGAGGTCCTTGAGAGAGGACATGAACAGCAATGTGCTGCTTTTACACACACACCACATCTGTGACACCTACAGAAAATGATATAATTTGGCACATCCTGTAGCACATGCTTGCAAAGCTCTGCTCTGTCGCTTCAGTAGCAAAACACCTGGGGTAGGAAGAGGCTGCTGAAAGCCAGAGCATTCAGAATTAGACGAGTCACAGTTAACTCAGGACCTCCAGGCACTTTGCAAACCTTGAACTAATTGAACCTAATTCACAACCATATGGGATAGGTGTTATTTATTTATTTTTTTTTTACTAAGGAAACTGAGGCTTAGAAACATTTAATGTTATATCCAGGTCCATGTAAATGGTGGAGCCAGGTTTTTTTGTTTGTTTCTTTAATCCTCACCTGAGGATATTTTTACATTGATTTTTAGAGAAAATAGAAGAGAGAAATATCGATGTGAGAGAAACACATGGATTGGTTGCCTCCTGCATGCGCCCTGACTAGGGCCCCAGGCCAGGGAGGAGCCTGCAATGGAGGTACATGCCCTTGACAGGAATCCAACCTGGGACCTTTTGTCCACAGGCCGGTACTCTGTCCATTGAGCCAAACCAGCTAGGGCAGAGCCAGGTTTTGAAACAGTGCTGAGCCCAAAGCTGTTGTTTACTCTGCAAACAGGAAGACATAAAGGGCTTATGTGTATACTAGAAGCTCAATGCACAAAATCCGTGCAAAAGGCTTGGCCCTCCCAGCCCTGGCTGGCCCTCAAAGCCCCTCCCAGCCCTGGCTTCGGCTTCCTTCGGAAAGTTGTCCTAAGGACGGTCGTTTTGCAGTTCGGTCTGATTAGCATATTAGCTCTTTATTAGATAGGATATAGGATAACCATCTCCAAAGGTGAAGGGACTCTCTGTGGTAGAGAGAGTGGAAATTTCTAGGTCAATCTAGTTCTTATGAGTGGAATCATGAAAGAAGACAGACTTTACTTCCAAATATGGAAGAAATGATTATCTTATGAAGGTAGAATTTCCTACCCTTGATGGGAATTAGCAAGTGATTTTTTCTTAGGAGAATTTTTAGAGGAGATTTCTGCTTGGCTGATCTCTGCTTTAATCCCAACTTCTAGTTTCATGATGTGATAGTATGTAAAAAGCATGAGAAGATTGAGTTAGAAATACTGTTCCTCTTGCACATGTTATTTTGAGGAGGGGTTTGTATTTTAGACTAACTGCATGTGGATCAAGAACTCATTTCCAAGAGAGAAGGTCTGATAGTTCTCCAAAGAGTTTACAAGTGCCTTTCTTAGAAGACTGCCCTATGATTCTGGAGCTTCCAGGACCTGGCCAGTCATACGTTCATTCTGAAAAATCCAAACACAGTCTCAAATTTCACCATCAGCAGGACTGGAATAGAACAAAGAGGATTTTCTGCTTTCCTTAATCCTTCCCAAAGGATTAAAGACATCAATTAAGCAATCTCAGAATCCATCCATTGTCCTACTTTGGAGAACAGTTTCAGAAATTTTTAATGTAATGTCATTTGTGTATGAGTATGTGTATGAGAAAGCACTGTACTTATGCTCAGATTTCCTCCTGTGTCTTACTGCTTTGTAAGGGGGAAATAATACCCATTTATTTCCCTGCCACCTCTTTCATAAGAACACTTCCGTTTTCTGGTTTAGAATAGCAACTATTCCTATGAATCAAAGATTGCCCAGGAAGAATATTTTCATCCTTGAGAGAGCTCACGTGGATTAAGATAAAACATTACCCACTGGCCAGAGAAATTGTAGAGCTAGGCAGTATTCCTGCTGCGATACACCTTTATTGTTCTCTCTACCTTTGCCCCTTTTCTCTTTCTCCTCCTCCTTAGGCAAGGGCAGCTGATGCCCCATTGAACTTCAGCTTTGTGAGGAGTCTGAGATGAATTTGGAACTGCAGCTGTTAGCTATTTGATTCTTCCTTCCGCAATTTGAAGGTGAATAAGAGCCAAACCTAAACCATCACAGGGAAAAAAATTCTAGGTAGAGATGCGAACTTTTAATCACACCCCAAGATCCCCCCTTTTTTTGGATAGAGGTGTCACTCATTGTAAGAAAGGGAGAATGATTGAAAGCACAGAGAGAATCTAGTCAGTGGGTCTGTATTCCAGATAATTGTGTTCTTAATAGCATTAATTACCTTCTAAATGAAGGTGAGCATACAAATATCAATACAATTTGCAGAAAGATGTCTACCTAGATAAAACATGTGTATAATTTATTTTCTGTTCTATCTTTCCTACAATTAAAAAAAATCCAGGTACATAGTAGGTGATCAATAAATGCTTGTTGAATAAAAAATGATATTGTAGGACTGGGAGATAATGGTGGTATAGATCATTGTAATTTCACAATCCTTGATGTCCATATTTTGAGACAACTGCTTGATCAATGAAACTATCTTAAAACCAAAGTCCTTTCAGTTCAGTAGATCCATTGGTAAGGATCCAAGACAGACTCAACACATATCTGATTTTGTTTGATAATAACAGGGCTAGTGATAATTTATTCTTTATGAGCCCAGAAAATAGCAGTGTTTAACAATATATATTTCAAGATTCAAACTGCTGGACTCCAACTCCATCACTTACCAGCTTGATCACACTGAACAAGTTTCTTATCTGGGTTCCCTCATCTATAGTAGGTTCCTTTGCCTATCAAATTGTAATAACTCATAGGACCATTAGGAGGTTTCAAAGGGAAAAATTCTTTAAAGTATTCAGCATAGTGTTTAATACACCATAAGTATTAAATAAACGTTAACCATTATTATTATCATTAATCTACCTTCTATGAAAGGAAATAGAGCTATAGGGAAGTATAACATTAATAAATAAAAGGGAAATTTGGCTGCCTTTTCTATCTCTGCACTTTTTTGTTGTTGAGATTTTTAGATAGCTGTACATGCTTCAATACTTATAGGAAAATAAAGTACTAATATTACCACTCTACAGAGATACACACAAAATGCTTTGTAAAATATGATAAATCTAAGGCTATTCCATCTTTCCCTTCCTCAAAGTTAAGTTTTATGTTTTAAACATACACTCTTTAGAAAATGCAGTCACTATCTTTTATTCGGCACTAGAATCTCTGTTATTATGAAGTCTGTAGACATTATGCCATTGAAGTTTGTAAATGGATTGACAGGTGCTTCTAAGAAGCATGGGCAGAGATCAGAATATTATCCTAGAATGTATAAAAGAACACTACGTAAATAGAGTGGGAGATCTCTTTGTATAGAACTGACAATTCACTACCTGAACATGAACAGTCTTCCCCACACTAAAGTTATTCACGTTCAAGACAATCCTTGATGAATTAGTCGATTCCCATGATGTGGGCCAAAGAGCAAGATTACATACATCCCCACTGAGAAAGCGGTGTAATTTTTTATTGGTTTTCAGACTCCTTCAGTTATATTTCCACTGGGGTGTGTTTTTTAAAACAACATTTAAATTTAACTTCTTGTTCACCTTTCTTGCTACTTGTTTTTGTCTGGCATGGTTTTTATGCCTTCAGGTACATATGAATCATTTATGCACCCACATGATTTTCTTTTTACATCTCCATGCTGTGTTTTAAATGAAAAGTTATGAAGGAATATTAAATAAAGAACAAAACCAAGGGAAATGCAATATAGTTATGTGTGTGTACTGATAATGCCAACCGTCAAGTATTACCGGATTCAGCTGAAAAAACCAAAACAAATATGAGATATTCTGTAACTTTCTTCACAAGATGCTTATTTCATATCACCCTCAAGCAAGATTCCGT